GAAGTAGTGAAAAACTATTATAATTACAGTAGAAACCCCAACAGATTAAGAAATCAGTGAGAGATTCTGAAGTTAATGGAGTATACAAGTGTGTGACAATGAACTCAAACAGAAACAGCAGCAGAGCACCCTGCAGTACATTTCATTCAGGGGACATTGGAAGCTGGATCTGAGAACCTCAGTGCCTTTTTCTAAGGACCACTATCAACCAGTCAGCCAAACTGTTCAAAACGTTTTAATTTTTGTTTGGGTATGTCAGTGACGAGATAAAAATGAGAGAACATGCAGGCTGAGGATGTAGCTCAGTGGAAGAGCACTTGCCTAGCCCGTGCATGCAGGAGCCCTAGGACTCATCTCCAGTACCACAAAAGCCCAAACCATACATATGCAAGAAAACCCTGGGAAGAGAAGGCAATGTACTTCCTACTCTGATATGAACACATCTAACTGGTTTAAGAAACCACCTGAGGGTACTCTTGGAAAAACTGACGCTCAACCACACTCCACACTAATTACAGAATCTCTTGAGGGCAGGATCCATGCAGTTGAGCTCTGTCTTACACTCACTCAAAGATGAATTCTGAGTGGCTTGTGTGGTTGGTAGATGGGCTTTGGAGGTTATACCCAAGTCATCTAACATTTACTGGTAGAATGGCTCTGAATAATCTCTGGGCCTCCTTTTCCTTAGCAAAATGGGGTAAAAGATAACTTGAGTAATTATTAAGTCTGAGCGTATGTACACCCTCATACATCTATTTTTCATTAAAGGCTCAAGAAAGGGGCTATGAACCCATTAAGTCCCAAGTTTTCAATTCTACAATTATTTCAATGAAATTGACACAGTTGCACTAAGTTTGGAAATCACAATCAGGAGTTCATCATATAACTCATCGTCATTAATAAAAGAATGGTAAAAATTCAAAGTTACTGTAAGTGGCATGTTTGTTGCTCAATTTGTTTTATAGGAATTCCATATATGAGACAATGGGATATACATAATAGGTCAAAATTCTTACATTTTATAAAATGTACTAAACTATCACTAGTTCTAACTCCTAATGTTTTGATGAATTCTGTATTGGAAACTTTCATTTTTAATATATTTAACCAATGGCATGCCCCCTTTTCTGTCATCAAAATGAACATTCCCAGCAAAGCTCAGATGGTCCATTTCTTTCACCTTATTTCTCTGTCTGGTAACTTCTTGAAAAATAGAATTCAGGGCTTGGGCTGTAGCTCAGTGGTGGAACACTTGCCTTGCACGTATGAGGCACTGGGTTCAATCCTCAGCACCACGTAAAGATGTTGTGTCCATCTACAACAAAAAATACTTAAAAAAAATTCAACTCATTCTTCTTTTACCCGTTATCATGTTTAAGACAAAAATCACTGAGATGCTAAAACCTATGTTCACTCTAACATCAAATCCCTTTCCAATACTGTCTTCCCCATTACCACAATGTGGGGGAGGGGTTACTGACAAAAGATAAGCATGGAATACCTGAAGGGGGTAATTTTCCTCCTCTGGATTTAGTAATTGATATGTACTTTCCCTTTTTTCAGTGAATGAAGAATGGTTGGAAGGGGAGTGTAAAGGGAAAGTTGGCATTTTCCCTAAAGCCTTTGTTGAAGAGTGTGCAACTACAGACTTGGAGAACACTCCTAGAGGAGTCTAGGATGTTTCACAATCTACCAAGAAGAAAAAGGTCTATTATTTGTTTGCAAGATTTACCACACCTCTGACGTACACTATACTGCGACATTACAGTTTGTAAGTGTTCACTAACCTAAATTTTCCCTGTTAAAGTTGAACTATAGACAATGATATGAGATCCTCTCAGGATGAAGATTTCCTGGTACATGGAGTGGGGGAATGAATGTCTGAAGATTTCCTGGTACATGAAAGGGGGTCCTCAAGGATGTGACAATATGGTTTTGTTTAGTGCTAGCTATCCAGATGGGTTCACTTTGTGAAAATTGAGTTGCATGTGTAATTGGTGCACTTTATATGCATGATACCTCAATAAAAATCTTATCTCACAAAAATAAAGCAAGACATCCAGAGTCCAGGCTCAAGAGCTCAGTAGAAACATTCTTCTTCTTATATCATTAATATCACATACTGAGGCCTGAAAGCAATTTCACAAGTTATTCAGAAGGCGTATACAGACAAAATAACTTGTTCTTTTCTTACTAAAAGTTTCATTGCTTAATCAGAACCTAAACAGAGTTAGGTTCCCACAGAATATAACATTCAATTCCCCAAAGAACTAAAATACTAGAATTATATCCCTTTATGCCTTCTCAGAGGGACATTTTTATAAAGAGTTCAATATTGAATATTTGCCGCTAACACTTGAGTTGGTTAATAGTATTCTATGACTTTACACATTATAGTATTATCATAATAAGAGAGATACATAATGTCAGGTTTATTTGGTCATCATTTGGGGTTGACTCAGGTGAAGGATTCAATAAATACTAGACTTTAGGACCTGACCTTAATTTTCCTCCACCCCTTTTTCATGTAGTTATGTATGGCTTTGCTAACACATTTTCAAGTGTGTAGATGCTTGTGAAAAGCAGAGTTAGGAAATGAACTACGAGTGAATCAGCACCAAGGTGAAAGGACAATCAGTGTGAGCAATGGCTTCCAGCACACCGCTGAAGGCCCAGCAAACCACCAACGGGAACTCTGAACACAACTGGAAGACAAGCCACCACAAGGCCAAGAATAGTAATTACTGTTGATGGTAACCAGATTTAGTGAATTTTATAGGCCCAAAGGATAAACTATCTCTGAATTGACTCATTAACAGAACAGGGATAAAAATAGTGGGTATTACATAATTCCTTTACATAAATCAATCATTCTTCCTTAAATAATTTTGAAAACTTGTTTCTTTGTACCTCCCTTTCGATAATAATTCATTGGTATTAGTTTGAATGATACAAAAAGCAAAAATAAACCTGTAAGTTCTGACCATCTTTGCTCTTCCCTAGACTACTTCTGCATAGGTGAAATTCTTTAAGTTGGATTTCCTTCAACACTGAATCTGTTAGGATAGAAAAGAAACAATCCGTACACAGATGTGGTTGGAGAGAACATGGTTTAATTAAAGGCAAAGCTGATTTCAGCAGCTGCAGGTCTCGCACAGACATACAAAAAACAAAACAAAACAAAACCCAAAACAAACCAAACAATCAACCCATAAAAGTAAGTTTACTACACAAAACCAATTTCTGATGAAGATTCTCCTCCCTCTCCTCATTACTCCACAGAGAGGATGACAAGGCGAGGAGCCCTGCCCCAAGAGTCAGAAAACATTCCAAACATCAAATTCTCATGCAGAATGGGGCTGTAGATGGGAACTGGGTACTACTGGGAGGGAGATGATAAAGCCTGGTTTGCTTGTCTAGGGTGCAAGAATCAGTGACAGTTCAAACACTGGAATGTTGCAGCTGCCTGAATGCAGAGAGCTCAAACACACAAACTGGGTAAGGCAGTAGGGAAAGAGGCTTAGGAAAGAAGCAAAAGGAAAAAGGTGGACACAGTGAAGGGGCTGGAGAGAAGCACAAAGGGTTTCATATTGCCATTGGGTGGGGGCCTTCACCCTTTCAGACCTTTCCAAAAAAAAAAAAAAAAACCCAGAAAACAAAAATCCCAACACCATGTCAAACTAAAAGAGCAATAATGTAAGCACAACCGGGACTCCAACCACTCTTTCTTAAGAGCAATGAGCATTATCTCACCCCTTTCAATTGCTGGGGTTGCCCAGACTCCAGTGACAACCGGGGCTCCTGGATGTGCTTTGCTCTGAAGCTGTTTTCCAGCTAAGTTCCACACTAACTCACACGCTCATACCCACAACCCCGTCCCTCTGGGAGAGCAGATGGGCATGTGTGAGCACTTGTATGCACGCACACACACACACACACACGCACACACACACACACACACAAATACAGGAGAGACCTCCCAGGAAATAATCCCTACCACTAGCACAGCAATTGGACATTTAGATTGTTTCCATAATTTCCCCTTAAAATATTACTTTTCCAGGAAACGACTAACAGAAACGCTGTCCTTCCGTTTCTACACAAGAACATCTTCAGTCCTCTTTCCTCCTAATAAATATCAAATAAAAAGTTTATTTTCCATTCTTTTGCCTTTTCCAAAACGGCCTTCGTTGTGTTTTCTTCTGTTCACGACGTGCATGTGTCCATGTTGCCTTGAATCTCACTCTCGAAGTGGAGGCTGGGAGGCTGCAGCTGGGCAGGGGCCTGGCCCCTCTGCGGCTGTGCAGACACCGTCACTTCCTTCTTCAGACTGTCTTTTGGGTTCCAACTGCTGGACCCCATGCTGTTGCTTCTTGGCAAGATGTTGTACACATTAAGAATAAAAAATGATTACTAGCAAACAGCACAGGATTAAAAAGGGATGGAGACAGGCCAAGGAGGCTGGTAAGTAGGATGGGGGCACAAAAACCAACCAAACAAAAAATAACCACACTGAAAGCTTCTACCCATTAAAATGTATCAGGCCAGAATGGATCAGCCTGCCTTCTGTGGGACTGTTTGCTAGGCTACCGCAGAAGGTACAGGAATCAAAAACGTAATTTGAAATCCTACAGCAGTCACCTGCTAGTCCAGCCCAGCACCACTACCCATACCGTATCTGGGGGCTCGAGCACCTACAGAGTGAAGGGCATTTCCTGCTGGAATCTCCAGGCCAGAAGAAGGTCCTACCCAGGACCTTCTACGAGGCCCTGTACTCTCCCTTATGGAACACTTCCACTGGCTAAAGAGGTCGGTTCCCCATCCTGTCACCACCAACCTCTCACAGGAGCAGTGAATAGGGCTGTCCTTGCTACACACTGACTAGAAGCACACCTGTGTATGGAAGAATTCAGTGTGATAATTTACTACTGAGAGTAATAACAATAATAAAAGATGTTTAGGAATAATTTCAACTACATTCTCAGTCAGCAAAGCAATCATTAATGGATTCCTATTTTATTCCCCAAAGAGGAAAAAAGGACTGAGAAGTTCCCATTGGCTTCTCCCATCTGCCTTCCCTTCTCAGCTTTCACTTCCCATGTGGCTGGGGACATGCACGATGGAGAAGGTGAGAGGCGGTGATATCAAGTAACTGAGTGAGACAAACAGCAGTTCCTCTCTCCCTCCGGAAGGACCTGGGGGGACGGAGAGTTCCTGATGGATTTTTCTTTTTGTTGCACTGCGAACATTTCGTGCACACTCAGCGGGCTGGTGGAACACTTACACCCTCTTGATAGCAAGAAACAGACAAGAGGGCTGCCACCTGCAGGGGACTGTGTGGGCCAGTCCTGCAAACCCAACATGCCATGGTTTATGGAGCCTTCATTCCCAGGGTTGCCACTTTGGCCTCAGTGTGGAGGGTTCATGGTGCCTTGTCCCCGCTGCTGTTTCTGCTTCTGCTGCATTAACAACTGCTCCAGAGCGGAAGGTCCAGGATGCATCATGGAACTGGACCAGATAGACTGAAAAATAGCCCAGATCTTGTCAACAGAGGTCAAATGCCTGGTTGTCTGACTGGGATTTGTATATTAATCCCAGCCAACTATAACATGATGTACTACCAAAAGAATGGGATCCTACTTAGATTTAACTTATACTCTATGCATGTATAATACGTCAAAATATACTCTACTGTCATGTATATCTAAAAAGAAAAAAAAGACACGTATGTCCCAAGAACCCTACTTTGCCCCCTGAAACAACTGCTATCACAAAGTCATTATAATACTCTCAAGGCTAGTTAGTTCTTCGGGGTGCAGTGGTGCACACCTGTAATCCTAATGGCTCAGAAGGCTTAGATCATGAGTTCACAGCCAGCCTCAACAACAGCAAGGCGAGGCACTCAGCAACTCAAAAAAAGAAAAAAGGGCTGGAGATGTGGCTCAGTGGTTTAGTGCTCCAGAGTTCAATCCCCAGTACCAAAAAAAAAAAACTAGAGTGGAAGGTCCAGGATGCATCATGGAACTGGACCTGATAGACTGAAAAACAGCCCAGATCAATTTTAAATTGGAAAAGGTGAAATTATGTTTTAGGTAAAATCTCTTTACTCAGCTCCATGTGGTACCACAGGCTATATTTGTAGTAGTCTATTTTAGGTAAACAAAAGCATTTCTAATATGATATACTTTTCTTTCACTTGGTCAGAAAAGGTTTAAACCAACACTGAAGGTGAATCAGAATTTTCTTAACCTTAGAATAAAACTAAAGGCTTTACATTTTGGATCCTGTGATGATATTTAATCACTAGTGATTTCATAAATAATAAAAAAAAATCCCCTCCAAATTGCTAGGCTTCACGTGTTCCCAGGACTGCACTACACATGGACTCTGCTTTAGGCAGCTCTAAGGGCACAGAAGCAAGCCTACTTACTTATGTGAACAAAAGTAGAAATTATCATAGCTGCCAGTTTCGTGGCTCTTGTTTTGGAAGTCTACTCACCTTTAGACTTTCCATGAGGACAGCAGAGGAATCCTCCATGGAGGGGCCATGGCCTGTCCAGGTGCCACTTGGAGTACTGGCCTGATGCCAACTGTTCTCAGAGGATGATGTTGCTGAGAGATAATCAACGCCAAACCCACCCATGGCTAAGAGATAGAAAGAGATAAGAATTCAAGATGATGTTCTATCATTGGCAAATTCCAAACCCCAGGTAAGGTTAGAGCAAGTTATCTCATTTTTTCTATATAATAAAGCCCGGATCTCACCTGGCTTATCAGTTTTCCACCGATCTGCAGTCCTCCTATCCCTGTTGTCTGGAGTCCCAATGGGTCCAAAATTGGAAAATGGAACAGAATTATGGTTGTGTGTTGGAGGAGAGCTGGGCAGACTGCTTGGGTTAGAGGAATGAGGAGACTGGCTAGCTGGTGTTGAGTGATCTATTAAATGATAGCAATATAGGTTATTTAATAGATGTTTCACAAACATACCAAGAACCAATTATTTCCTGCAGATCCAATCATCCAAATTTTATTAAAAATAACCCCAGGGCTTTGGCAGAGAGGTAAACCCAGGACCCCATAAGGGAGCCTGTGTAATGTACTAATTTACCTTAGTATGCCTATCTAAGGCACATTCTTTTCCTTAAATAGTACACAAATTTTGTCAACTGAACATTATTCTGGCTTGTTTCAGATTAGTTACTTGGTTCTCCATCAGAAATAAAATTTCTTGGTCTTTTAAGAATATTATAAAGTCAGGCAATAAAATTGAGATAAAAAAAATCTTTACTTTGAAAAGTATAACTTTCCTTGCAAAGAATGAATATCTATAAACAAAACTGTTAAAAAGCTGAAGCCATATGATATAGCCCATATTTCTGTCTCTTATATGCTGGTTATCTAGGATATAAAAAGCTTTTTTCAGTAGCATTTACTACACAAACTGGTTTATCAGTTCTTTTCCCTATTTTCTTTCAGAAATTACTTTTTTACAAAACCAATATATTTGTAATTACAAATCTTAGTCAATTTGAATGTATGAGAATGGCAACATCTATAATTTAAGATTAGTTAATACCTGAACTGGCAGGAAGTGATGGAGACCATGGAGTCCCTTCAAAAAGGGAGTACAGTGATGTTTCCTGGGGGGCCATCGAGGGATTGAGTTCTGCTTTGGAACTGGTTGTCAGGTTTTTCCCATATACCTCATTGAACATACTGTTATTTGGGTATCTTTCCTGAAAGATATGACACTCAAATTACAAACTTCTCCAAAACAAAGAGATTTAAAAAAAAAAAGAAAGAAAAAGAAATGTCATATTCATAAATTCTTAATACACCTAAAGCTTTTATTTTCATTTCCCCTTTTGCTTTCTCTCACCCTGTATTTTGCTCTACATAAACTACTCACATTATACAGGTCACTAATTTGACCCAATCAGACACTAGGGGATAAACTCAAATTTCCGAAAGATATCAATATATGGAAAAGAAGGGAAAGAGAAAAACAGTTGTATTGAAAAAGAATAGGAAAAAGCATCAGCATAGAATAAAAGTACAAAGCAAGATTCTTAACTTTTTACCTACCTGATTGAGAGAGAATCCGGTGAGGGACAGGAAAGAGGATGAATGTGACATGAGCTCTGAGGGTTTCTCCAATAAGGATTTCTTCACAGTCCCAGAAAGAAAAGTAGTTAAGTTATGCCTTCCATTTTCTTAATATTAATCTTAAGACACTACAGAATCCAAGTAAAAGACCACCGTTTAATCATACTTGTACTCATTCAACGTATACAATATAATGAATGCCTAGAAGATGTGAATTCGAAGCTGAAATACCATGACGCTAGCTAAGCTTCAATTGCCACAGGTGAGTTAGTCAGAACTCTTCCTTATCAGTGTTATCTAGGCTAGCTCAGAGATTCTGGTAGGGACCACAGAGCCAGGAAAACAGCGGGAGTTCTGAGTATTTTTAAGGCATGAATCTCAGGAATTCCTTTATCAATAATTGCTTTTAAAACAAGAACTGTTCTACCACTGCTTACTCCCTAAATTTTAAAAATACTGACATGGATGACATACAAAAAAGCCTTTCAAAGCTGACAACTGGTTTTGTTTACATGTTTCCTAAGCAGCTATATTTGTGGTGTATGAATATACTAAAAGTCTAAATTACATTTATTGGCTATAAGAAAAATATGGGGAAAAGAAAGCTGAATCTATAATGCTCACTGCCACTAAACAGTGGGTCAACAAATCATTTACTGAATACTGACTACATGCAAGGCATTTTCATATATATTATATTGTTAACAATGAGTTTAAGAAGGGTTACTGTTGAGGGCTTTAAAAAAATCTGTTTTTAATGGTTGGTTTTTTAAAACACATATAAGAAAAATAAAAATGGACTGAAACCCCCACCACTTGCTCCACTTCCAATGTAAGAGCAGGAGCAACAGGAACCCAGGGATATGATATGGAAACAGGTGGACAGCCAGCCAGTATTCCCAGTCTCTCAAGCCACTCCAGCAGAAAAGGAACAAGACAGGCACAAACACCCAGGCAACAGTACAGCAGCTGGGCTTTCAGCTCGTCCCTGCTCCTGGGTGTAGCACTAACACCAGGGGTCTTAGTTGCTAACTTGGGAAGAGGCTTTCATTCTCATTCACCCAGGCAAATTCCTAAGGGAACTTTCAGGTACTAGGGATGGCAGCTAATGTCATGACAGCTGTTTTTATTTCTCTTGATACTACAATTAATGCATCTTAATCTAATGTTTAGAATGTTTTTCTTGCCCTGTGTTTATGGGAAAGAAACACCAAGAAAGAAAACTTTTTTTTTTCCCCTGAAATGTAGTGAACAGCGGGGTAAAGCCTCATGGCATACATCATCTTCCCAACTTTTATACTCCCTGCCCTCAGTAAAATATAACGTAAATGCTCATGAGCATGAAGAATGTCTTTGAAATGCAGTCTATGTTGTAGAAGATCACTTTTAAAAAGACATGATTAATCCAATCTTACATTCTAAAATTGTCCTAGTTATTTATCTTCATATTGACATGGTACTCCATGTCAATATGGCACTCCAACAATGTTTACAAATAGAATCCTCTTCAATTTTACTCAGTTTATGCATCCAACTCTTAATATCAGGGCTCTTTCTGGGTTCAGCCAGCTAAACAGGAAAGAACTAAATACTGTTCAATAATTTCAGTAAGAAAAATCTAGAACATATTTCCTTTCATATTTTGAATACATTTAAGACCAAAAATCTCACTTCCCCTAGGCGAGATTAAATGACACTTAAGTTTCTGGGTTCAGATGGAAGTGCCACCTGGAAAGCGAGTAGGTTTGCTAATACCATGGCCTGAGCATGACCAGCCCTGCAGGATGCTTTGTGGATAGCACGTGTATTTAGGCTCTGTATGATTCTACGATTGGAGGAACCAGAGTCAGAATTTTTTTTTTTGCCATATTGGATTACCATTTTAAGGTTAGTTCCAGGCAATGAGGAAATATATTTTATACTTCATACTATAAAAAAGCCAAGCCCCGGAAAGAAGAAATCACCTATAACGAGTAACACAAAATTTCAGAAAAGCAGCTGGGGTTAGAGCAAGAAGCAGGATTATGTCAAATACATACAAAGAGGCTTCGTCCAGGAAGAGAGGCGAGAGGCCCCAGCAGAGCTGGGTAAAGATCAGGAGGGTTAGAAAAAATCAGCTCTTCCTCTTCCTCCAAGGCAGCCAGACTCTTTAACAGGTCCGGAGGAAGCAAAGGGGAGCTCTTGGGGTCCTAGTGACAGAAAGGAGCACAGTGAGATGCAATCAGGTATGACAAAAGCATAATGGAGTAGTAGTAGCAGCGTGATTACAGTGGATAAGGCAACTAAAAGGGTGGAGAAGTAATCAGTAGGGAAATAGTTAATGCAAAGAGAAAAGGCTGTGAAATATAAAAGCAAAGTGACACAGGACATGGTTGAGAAAGACTAAGACAACAGAAAGAAGCAAAGAAAGATACAGATAGAGCAGAACATAAAAGATTAATGTAGTTAGTAAAAAAAGGCAATGAAGCAAATGATTAGCATATTTTGTGCTAACAAATAGAAAAACAGATCTTTTAAAAAAGTTTATAAGCACACCTGCTTCTCATGACTAAAAGGGCAAGAAAAGGGAATTCCACTGTCCTCGATAACTGACTGACTTTTTTCCTCTCAGAAAGCAATTTGTTTAAATGCTCAATAAAACCATTTTTAAACTCAGTGACTCGGCCCAACTAAGAGGAGCTCTTTGTCTCAGAATTCTCGAACATGCTGCATTAGAGATTCCTGTACATTTCTCACCTGAACATCATAGTTAAAATCAGTTATAATTCTTCAGTTCCCCTAATTGAACCATACTATGTAATTTTGAAGAGACTAAGTGCTGTAGTACCAATGGACCAGAGTGATCTTTTATAATATCTATTTCCTATATGTATTTCTATGTGTCATCTTGAAAAATATAAATAAATACAGTATCTACTATAGAAATTAAAAAGATAAGCAATCTTAGACCCAGCTTTACAAGAACCTGGTGATCGGAAAGGACACACACCTCAAATGGCATCCTGGGCACAGGATCCTGCTCTGGACGGAAGACTCCTGGTGACCGTTTTCCCCTGCGGTCCATGTTTGCTTGCTGTGCCATTACAGCTCTATTATCAGCCATGCTGTAGGAAGAATCCCAGTAGAATTCTGGGACCTTGACTTCTGAGGGATTATGGTTATATGGCTCCATGGGAAAAGGCTTCATTTTTTTCTCTAGAGGCTGCTGCTGCATTACAGGAGGTTGCAATGACGGCTCAAACAGTTTTATGGGGTCTTGGGACTGAAGGTAGTAGGGCTGTTTCACAGGCATGATTTTCCCTAATGGGCCTTGAACCTGAGGAGGATTCCACAGCTGTTTGGAGGCATCTGCCTGTTGATACTAAAAAGACAGATAGCTATGACCAAGGTGAAGATAATATGCAATATTACTGAAAATTAATGCTAAAGAATCACAGAAAGAACCAGAAACCAAAACTATAACCAAACCAAAACAAACCAAATTCTCTGTGTGTGGGTGGGCAGGTAGAGGGGGATATAAAAATCCAAAACCAAAACTCAGCAATGCAGTAGTTTCCTTTACTCTTCATTGTTTTTTTCAATATAGATTTTAGGAAACCAAGTATGGGCAATGAACTCATATTTTACTTTTTCAATTCAATTATTTAAGAGGTTTAATGAATGAATATATATGAGAGACTTTCTGCTTCAAGTGCTATGGGGATAACATGTAAGATTGGTATCACATTCATCATAGCACTTCATTAAGACTATGATTTTCTTTTCATTTTGCAGTTTATATTCAAATAAGAGATAATTATTTAAATAAAATCTTTCCTACAAAGCTCATAATTAGCACTAGCAAAGAATGACAGTGAAGATTATCCTTTATCAATAGAGAAGGAAAATATTTATTTTTCTGACAGAGAATACTTTTGTATTCCCACAATAATAAATTATAAGTCTAAACAAGAAGTATTTTTAAAGTTTAACATTTTTTAATTAGTCAAACAAATCATTTTGGCATTTCCCCTTATTCAGGGTGGTCAGCACACGTGACTGCAATGTACCTGTTGGAATCCAGAGTGGTGAGGAGGGCTTTTCCCCAAAGCTGGCACGGCTTTTGTAGGGGATTGCTGCTGCTGAGCAAGAGCTTGAACCTGCAACTGGCTTGTGGACTGTGCTGTTGGCTGAGCTGGTAAAGATGGAAGGGGTTGCTGGGAGGGTGGCTGTGACTGTTGAGGTCCCTGGTTCATTGGCCCTGGTCCAGAGGGCCGTTGCTGGCTGTAAGGAATGTGGGACTGTTTCCCAGCTTGCACCTGGTTTCCTGCTGGAGAGTGAGCTGCAGGCTGAAGAAAGGTTCCTGGGACAGAAACACCAGCTGGGAAGGTGTAACCTGAGCCCATAGAAAATGCCACAGGAGGGGGAATAACATATGTTGGGGGCGGGAACCCTTCAAAATAGAAGAACACAGCTTTAGTTCTAAAGAAAGTTAGCCCAAAAGGGGAAAGTCTTTTTTTTTTTTTGGTGGTGGTGGGGGATTTCTAATACATTATAAAAGCAACACATCAACCATGTTGTCAATCTTTAAGAATTCAAGAATTAAGAATTAAATGCACACTATTTTCTAATTTTCTTCTGTCCACTGAAGTAATAAGCACATTCTAAGTTTTAGATTTTTTTTGCAGTGCTGGTAGTTGAACCGAGGTTCTCACATATGCTAAGCAGCTACCTATCCCTGAGCCACACCCCCAGCCCATTTGAGTGCTTTAAAGATGGCTTCTCAAGTTTAGTAATAGGAATTCCTTCATGATAACAACATGCACTTGTATATGAACTACAAAAATAATTTCATAAGTATTAGGGGAAACTGAACTTCTTTCTACTTGATAACATTATTACTCTAAGAGAATAAACTACTCAATGAGTGAACAGAAATCCCCAGACACATATGGAATTAAGTACAACAAATTACAAAATGCATTTACCTGGCCGGCTAGGAAGAGGAGGGAAGGCTCCAGGGTGATGAATGGGGATGAACTGGGAGTTACTTGCTTGACTTGGGGTTTGAGTTACAGGTGTTTTCCTGGCTTCAGACACTGGAGTCTTTCTTAGTTCTGCCTGGGATTTCACCTATGACCAACAGAAGCAAAACTATCAATAAAAACATGGAATTCTAATGTGTCAGAAAAAGTACCTATTCCTAAGAAAGTATGTTGAAGATATTTAAATTCACCTAAGTTAAAAATGAAAAAAAAATTAAAAATTATTTAATTGTCAATAAAATAGATAAGGATTTAGTTTAACTAATGTAGTAATTTTGCTTTCATACAATCACAGAACCTCTAAATATGGAAAGGACTTCAATGCCCATTTGTTTTACAAGTGATATACCTGATGCCAACAGGTTATCAAACTTATCTGTGATCTTAAGCTGCCTACTGTGGGGCCTAGGGCTCTTTATGCTGAATTATGAATTAATTAAGACCATCAGCTCTTGGTGATTTTTTTGGCCCCCAGTTTAATTTCATCTGGACAGGCTTAAGTGTAGAGTCAGGTATCTACCCTCAACCCTGCAACCTTATCACTCTTTGGAATAAAAAAAGGATATTTTCAGCAGAGCCAGAAAGTATCTATATACTACTCAAGGTTGAGCAGGGGGAAAAATATTAGCATTTACGAAAAATTGCGATGAGGCTTTTTTATGGGTGGATTTAAAATGGAGAAAGGAGATTTATCAATTTGGACCTTACTGGAAGGCCATGAGAATGGAGAAGGACAGGCAGAAAATGCTAGTCTTGTGTGGGAGGCCAACCTTACCGGTGACTTACACTCTCCAGCTGGGTGCTGAGGCGCTCAGTTACAGAAATGGGTGTGTCTTGCTACAGCCCCATGGATGAAGCTATGCTCACCTGTCCCTTTGTAATATAACCCCTTGCCCTGTTTAGGATAGAATCTTCCATGGAAGTGCCTTGTGTGTGTCCCCTCCTCTTACTGTGCCCTTGGGTGTGGCCTACCCAGGTGTCAGTCAACCTGCTGACAGTGGACATCATGAAGATAGACTCAGCCCCCTGAAACCTGACCCCTTGCCTCATTTGAATAGCTTCTCCTCAATAAAAGGGGTCAGCGCGTGCTCTCTCTCTCTCTTTCTGCGGACCCTTAAGGTCAGAGAAGCCGTCACAGCAACCCCAAAGAAAAAGGTATTTGTGTCTCTTGTGTGGTTATTTCGTGCAGCCCAGTTAGCCCAGTTTAACTAGAGTGACCCCTGAGCCTTTTAGTCGTGAGAACAGAAACCTGGCAGTCTTGATATTCCTAAAACATGAGTCCTTTGGTTTTCTATGTTTTTTTTTCTTTTCCCATGTCTTTTCTCAATTTCCACCATTTTCTTATCTGTTTCTCTTCCTACAATTAATCTGAAAATGAAAATGAAACTATTGTTTTCTTATTTCTCCCTTTCTCAAAAAAGTTCTATTAGGGAAATAAATTGAAGATACTGTTTATTTGTAAGCAGCCTTCAATAATGTAACGTTCCTCCTGCAAACACATACGTTTGCTGAAACGTGTTAACAAATCACATGGCTACTTAAGTACTTATTCAAAATTAATGGTATTGATAAAATCAGCAAAGAGTAAATACCCTCTGTTAATATGAAATTACCTGTATTTCTTTAGAAAGATATAAAGTAAAAAAAAACCCTCAGAAATAACTTAGCAGAGTTTTTTTTTCTCCCCCCAACAAGATATTTTGGGTTCTTGTTTTACAAATTCCTGTGAATCAGGTATTAACCAAAGGACTCATGTTTTAGGAATATTACCTAAAGGACAGTGCCATTGGCTGGGACAGGTATAAGTTCAAAGATGAGAAGCTTTTTCTTGACATTTAATCAAAGGTGACTATTGGTTTCTCTCCTGTGTCTCAGCTGTTGCTTTGTAATTTGGATAGTGAATCTTAGCAGAAAACAAAAGATCACACAAACCTTAATAGATCTTGGAACTACAAAAGACCTCAAATCTTTGCTTTAACATTAACAAATAGTAATTACAACCTTATAAATAAAAATCTAATCCTGTGTGGAAATGACGGCTCTACAACCAGTCAACTCAAATCACTAAGACAGAATTGATAAGAATTTCTTATCAGATTTTTTTTTTCACTCACATTATAATACCCAAGAATCAATAAAGTCACCACAGCTTGCCTTTTTTTTGGGGGGGGGGGGGTTATTGGGGACTGATTGAACCCAGGGTCTTGCACATGCTAAATGCTGAGCTACACCCTCAGCCCTACCATAGCTCTTTACATACCTTACGATGAATTCAAAGAATTCATGTAAACTTCACAACAGCCAATGTTGAAGGCTTTAGGAACAAAATGAGAAATCTTGCCTTTTGTGTGAGCCTGCCTTCCTCTACCTGCTCTGTAGTTCAAATACAGCTTACCTGCACTGCCACATTCTGCTTTCCTGTTTCCTGTAACTTTTCTAAGGTGCATTTCTTGGTTTCAGTTTTCCTCTTGGTGTTGTCCTTCTTTCCATTATTCTTAGTTACAGTTATTCCTTTGCTATAGTCCCTTCTCACCTCTTTGGGAGGAAAACTTCTTCCTTGGTCTCTGTTCACTTCTCGTGGCTTAATGTTCTCTTTGAAGGTGACCATTGGTTTCTCTCCTGTGTCACAGCTGTTGCTTAGATTTCGGCCTGTAGACAGTACTGATTTCAGTCCTGGGCTCCCATCAGCAGCCAGCGACTCTATCACAGGTGTTTCTTGTAGAATGAGGTTCTCTTTGGCTTCACTGGGGTCTTCCAGTATTAATTCTGGAATTTCTGTGATAAATAACAATTTCCCTACCTCATTTTCACACTGAATCAGCCTAAAAAAGTAAAAATAAATCCATATATGAAAAACATAAAACTAAAAAACAGTAACTCAACTGTGTATGATTCAAGAGTCAGTATGTTCCTGGCCCTGAATATCAAAGAAACAACAGGATATAACTGTGAATCCAGGTCACATAGAAAATACATAGAAACTCAGATTTTTTATTAGCACACTTAACATCGCAATACATTCCACTATCCTTTCAATATTTGCTAATAATTAGTTATAACTACTGACCATGTTTTAAGTACATGACACTAGTCTAAGCCTCTTAGCATAAACTGTAAAGTGGCTATATATAAGCCCTATTTTGCGGGTGTGGAAACTGACACTCAGAGCTGAAGAGTTCACATGAAAGCCACCTAGAAAGTGGCAGAACCAGAAACTGAATTCAAACCTATCTGATTCGAAAACTTGTTTTTTCCATTATACCAACTGTCAGATCTGCTTTGTATTTAACTAGTACTAGCACCATCCCAGCTAGTCCTGACGGAAACCAACCAGGCATGCCCTCGCCCAAAGAAATCACTGTGAGAACTGAAACTCAGATTTATACAGACGTTTACAAGCTTGAGCAAAAGCTCATGACAAACAACGGAGACACGTCCAGTTCCAGTGTACTGGGGGAACAAATTTTTAAATAAAATGTATACTTATGATCACTTGTCATAATTAGATGTTCTGCTACAAATATTTTTACTTAGTTCATAATTGACAGTATTTATGTCAAAGCCTGAAATACATGTGAGAGAGCGGGTATGTACAATTTGATTCAAAGGAGTGGGCTAGAAGGCCAATGGACATACCTTGGCTGATTATCGGCAATCCATTTGCCTATAGCTATCAAGCGTTGCTGTCGTATTCGCCGTTGCTGACCTTCTTTGTCTCCTGTAATACCCTGGTGGCCTTTGGAAAAATCCAAGTTCCTAAAATTCACACAACAAATTACAGAAAATGAAACTCTAAAAATAGTTTCCAGGCAAAAAAATTCACCTAATTAAATGCAAAGTATATGTTTTCCAGACAAGTTAGCTACTTGATGGCATTTGTATGAATTACACTTGCAAAGACTTTAAATACAATAAAGCAGAAAACAAAAATAAGAGCTCATTACATTAATGGAATACTTTTGCTGCTTCTATTTCATTTTCTAGTTAAGAAGCTCAAATAAATCACTTTTTATTAGGATTCTTTTGTCACTGTAATAATAAAGTATTTTTTGTTTATTTGCTGTGCTGGGGATGGAACCCAGGGCCTCCTATGTGCTAGGCAAGTGCTCTACCACAGAGCTAAAACCCAGCCCAGAATAAAGTTTTATCAACACTTAACTTGCCTTCCAAACAATTTGATTAAAATAACCAAGGCAATGCTAAGAGTCTCTGAGGTGCCTATTATAATAAACAGCATTAATCTATCCATTTTTAAGATGGCCCATTCTAAATCAGAAAAAAGCATAAATATCATGAAGTATACAGATAAGAGAAGGGTTTGTCAACCAGAGAAAGTAAATGTTTTTCAGTTCTCTTCTCACTACACTTTCAAAAAAAAAAAAAAGGTTAGGCAGAAGGGAGGAGTTTAGTTTGAGGACATCAGCTATAATTATGATTCAATCTGATAAATAAATTATGATTCAATCTTATAGTAAAAACTATGCAAAGAATAAGGGAACAAAGTAAAATAAGGATGAGATCCTTCTCAGCAATTCTGGAAGGGTTTCAGAGTAAATGACACTGAGCTGGATGTTAGCAGATGGGATAACTGCTTACCAGGCTAGTAGGGGAAGGGCCGGAGAAGAGGAGGGAATGTTCTAGGCACAGCATGAATAAGGTGTACGGAGAAATAAGAATACAGAGCTAACCTAGAATAAAACACAGTGAGTGCATGGTGTGTATAAGTACCAGGGGTAAGGGAAGAAAGCAGGTGAAAATAAATCTGAAAAACTAAGCTAAATAATATTAGGACTTGGGACACCGACCTGAAAGAAATACTGCAGTGACTGGGGATGGGTGAATCTAAGTTTTTAGATTAGTCACGGAACAGCATCAGTTCTACACTTGGAAAAAAAATAATTCTAGAAGCAGTAGGGGCTATAGGAAGAGAACTGTAGGAGGCTTCTTATGCTCCAAGTAAATGGTGATAAAAACCTGAATTATGGGGAAATAAAAGGTGATGAAGCTGACAGGCATTTTGGCCACAGAATTACTAAACTTGGTGAGAAATACTAACAAAAACAAGAGCTTTTCTGATTTCTAGTCTGGTGGACAATTTCTAGCTTGGTCTACATAAGCACAGTTAAAAAAATATAGAAAGAAGATTAATTTTAATGACCAGATAGGAAAATATAAATTCAATTTTGGGCATAATATAGCTTAAAATGTATAAGGGTCATTAGATTTTTAAAAATAGGAATCCAAATTCCAAGAGAACTTAGAAGTAAAACTTTGGGAATTACAAAACAAGATAAAAACTCAAGACAGGGATGGATCTGATCACCAAGGGAGGATGGAGAAAGTGGGAAGGAAAGAACAAGGAGAGAATCCTGGAGAACAACATTTAACATGTGTGGTGCAAAAGAAAGAGTGAAAAAGACTAAGGGCGGGAAAAGAAGAGTAATGTCACAGAGCCCCCCAAGGTTTTGTCAAGGAAGGGGATCAATATATTCAATGCTGGAGATTAAAAAAGGATGAAAATTATGCAACAGCCCCAGGAATTTGGTATCTAGGAGGGCACTGACAGTTCTAAGTTGCTGAAGGCTGAGAAATGAATAAAAATTGAAGATGGGTCAACATGGTTAGCTCATACTAATTTTAAAAAGTTTAATGAAGAGAAAAGATAAGACAACAATGAAGATGGGGGTTGTAAATTTATTTATTAATTAATTTATTTAATTTATATTTGAGGTACTGGGGGTAATACCAGGGATGCTATATCCCCAGCTCTTTTTTTAATTTTGAGACAAGGTCTTGCAAAGTTGCTGAAGCTGGCCTCAAATTTGTGATCCTCCTGACTCAGCATCCTGTGTGTCTGGGACTATAGAGCATGTGCCACTGAATCCAGCTTTATTTTATGTAAAAGAATGGAGCATACATAAGTGATACTAGGCTGAAGGGAACTGTTTGGTTTTAAAAAAAAAAAAAAAAGAAGAAAGAAAGAAAAAGAAAAATGATATGGAGAGGAGTAAAAGATGAATGAAGGCGCCAGAGGAGGTAGAAAGGGATGGGACCAAGAGACATAAGATGACTGGGAAAACCAGATTACAAGTAATAACCTTTGGTTTACATCTGTTTCCCTTTTTGACATTTACCCTCTAATTTCAAGAAAAGTTTGAAAGTTCATATCATTCAGTGAAAAAATATTACTTGGAGAAGCCATTTTCTTTTCCATTCCTTTCTTAAACACTTACTATTGGTATTATACAGGAATTAAAGACATGACATACATGAATCCATTTCACATCAATACACTGTCATTATTAGTTTTTGTTATGAAATAAGAACAAAGCAAAGGTTCTACATACAAACCTAATTCTTTTTAATTATAATACTGCAACCACTAGCAATGCAATAAACCTCCTTCAGCAGCCACCTACCTGAAAGAAGGTCTCAAAGCCAAGAATCCTTGTAACTCAAACTCCTCTGGAAGTGGTGTAGCTAAAGGGAGCAAATTTTTATTTTATTAAAATTTTATTTATTTAGTATTTTAATTAAAATAATATTATTCAAACAATGCTCACTAAATTTTAAGGATAAAATAAAATAAATATGCAAAGAAAGTATCTGTAATGCTCAATTCTGTAATCTTCATAGTAATCTTAATAAAAATAACTTACCCATCAAAATCCCAGAGTATGTTATCTTTGGAGCCTAGCATTCTTCTACTATTCACCTAATAGTCAATGTGCAGGAGGATGGGTATACAGACTTTATTATCAGCATTTCTAAAAATTCTTAGCCTCAGATTTAGTAATCCCAATGTTTATATCATTTATCTCCTTTAACTCCAAGTATTGATGAGCAACATTCATATCACCAAGAACTTAAAAAAAAAAAATACAGATTCTTGGGCCCCCTCTCAACCTACTGAATCATGTTGAATTTGAACAAGATCCAGGGGATTCACTTGCAAGTTAGCACTGAGGACTACTGATCTCATGGAAGATAATCAGAAAGGAGTCAAGCTATATGTTGCTCAATGCAGCACTACTTATTAAGGGAGAAAATGTTAAAAGTCATAGACACTGAGTAAATAGATTATGGCACATATATAGGATACAATACCATGAAGTCAATGAAAATTGTTTTCAAAATGCTTAGTGAAAGAGTCTTAACAATATAATGTTAGTTTTAAAAGCAGGTACACAGCTGTATCTGATATAATACATTACATTGTTACCTATAAGAAAGAGGCTTGGAGAAAATATACTATCATGTGAATGGTACAAAGTACTACAGGATAACTATGGGCAGTGTGTGTGTGTGTGTGTGTGTGTGTGTGTGTGTGTGTTTGCATGTGCCAAATTTTCTGATGAGTAGGTATTAATTTGACAGAGTGATATTCTTAACACCCCTACCCCTTTAAATAGTATGAATGAAGAGGAAAGAAAGATGGAAAAAATTTAAAGATATTCTTTTACTCTCTGAACTCCTACTCAAATGTGGCTGAGCAAGAATAAGCTGCTTGAGGGGCTGGGGCTATAGGTCAGTGGCAGAGCACTTGCCTAGCATGTGTGAGGAATGTGTTCGATCCTTAGTACCACATGAAAATGAACAAATAAGGCTGGGCACAGTGGCACATGCCTTTAATGACAGTGGCTTGGGAGGAGGGGGCAGGAGGATCACAAGTTCAAAGCCAGCCTCAGCAATTTAGCGAGGCGCTAAGCAACTCAGTGAGACCCTGTCTCTAATAAAAATACAAAACAGGACTGGGGATATGGCTCAGTGGTCAAGTGCCCCTGAGTTCAATCCCTGGTATGCACCCCCCCACCCCTGCACCCATGAACAAATAAAGACATGCTGTCCACATACAACTAAAAAAAAAAAAAAAAAAAAAAAGACGCTTGAAGAACATCATCTCTACTTTCACCCACTTAATCTGTATAGAGCTCAAAGTCTCTTCTCAAATACTGAATTTAAAGTCAAAGACTTTTCATCAAAAACCTATTTTTCTCTGGCCTTAAATGCACCATTAGTGATAGAGAAACTATAGCAAAAATTCATTGTTACCATTAGTACTTGAGAGATCCTCTTCGTGCGGATGGAAACTATTCAGAAGAGAAATTAGCCAGGGCCAAATGCTGTAAATTAAAGAAATATTTCAAATTTAATTTTTATACAAGATAATTAGAATACTCATAAACCATGAAAATGATGTCTACAGGAACTAGTCTTAATGTATTTTTCCTTTTCAACATTTCAAGTTTGTATTAATCCCCAAAATATATTTTCAAAGATATTGCTATAAAGATGTACCCAGAAGAGTCAAATTTCCATGACAGAGACATACTACTGAAGATTGTTTTCCAGGTTCCTTATTTGACAAACAGCAAAAATGATGTTAGTTTTAAACACTGAAAATTGATGTTTATTGAGAAAATTCTAATCAGAAAAAAAAAAAAAGATATTGCGTTATATATATATATATATATATATATATATATATATATATATTTTAAACATATATTAGCAGCTGTGGGACCCACTGGTAGATCTTTTAACCTGTGACGGGGTGAGGGCACATCACATTCTCTCTTCTAAATGATAAATAATGCCTTCTTCCTTATGGTACATACACACAAAAAAAGTCTACTCTGCTCAATATCATCTCTAAACTCTGGGCCAATAGGATAATTGTATAGGAACAAGGCCTATATACAGAAACGGCCATCCCTGTCCATAAACACGAAAACCCTATATGTAAATGATAAAACAGACTTCTTTCACAGTATTACTGATACAATTTATTAAACCAAACAGAAGTTTGAATTCTACATATATAAAACTGTATAGCCTAGGTTTTTTGATTTGTCATAGTTTAATTGAAATTAAATTTGATATTGAATAAACAACTTCAAAAGTTTTATAATAAATATCCCAATATTTTGTGAATATAGCCTAGGTTAAGAAAAAAATTTTATTCAAGACAGCGCCTAGAAATATATATAACAAATACCTTTGCAAATATTAAAAGGAGATGTATACAACATGGCACTATGTTCCCAAACTCCACTAATAATGTCAAAAGTGATGGAGCTAGCTTATAGTTAGGTGAGAGAAAAAAGGAAAGAGAATTATGAAGTAGAGGGATCACAGGGTCTCGAATGAGGCCTTTTCTTAAGTTGTGATCTTCGTCAATGTGATGGGCCACAGATAGCAATTTCAGAGATTTTCCTTAAATTTAGCACCAAAACACACAGGGAAGGAACTTCCTACTCACTGCAAAGCCTTCTTGAAGGTATTTACCTCTAATACTCAAAGGTAAATTGAAAGTTTTCATTTGTCACTGTGAAGTCAACAGTTCTGTCAGAATTACTTTGAATACAGATCACAGAGAAAATGGTAAGAGTAAAAATAGCTTTCAATCTTCTTCTGTGCTTAAAATAAATACAATTCAAATTGGGTGTTATTATAAAGCAACATCAAATAGTTTTAACATACAGAAAATAATGAAAGAATTAAGAATCCCTTTACAATCCCTTTTCCTGAACAAAAAACCGAGGCACAAGGTATTTGATAAGAAACAAACTGACTGTATGTCAAGTTCATCTTGAAATGTGAAAATTATCTTTTCCTCAGGATGGTAACTGGGAACAGGGAAGGGCAGAGAGAAGCACAAATTCTTAAGACTGTGCCTCACATGAAGAATTCAAACAAATAAATGGGAAGCATACAAAGAGGTTTTTAGTTCAATTTCCAGAGTGTAGGCAGAAAATACAAAGTCTTCCATTGTTTGAATGTTGTGTTGTTTGAATTGTTGTGTTTCAGAAGGCAGTTTTCACATATCTATGAATATCAAACAAACAAAGCATACAAGCTATGATGAAATTACAAAACACTTACTACTGTCTTTCATCTACCACTGCCTCCTGAAAGACTCTGGGTCTGAGTCTTAGCCAGTCCATGGAGACCTTGACCGCAGGAAGGGGATAGGCATTGTAGGACTCCTCCTGAGACTCATTCTGCAGAGGACACTTGCACAGGATGCCAAGAAAAGACACTTAAAGAAAAAAATGTATTCACAAAGCATAAGATATTTGAAACTGTATACCAATCTAAATTAAAATGTCATTATGAGTCTCCTCCTATATTCTACTGAATATGCAAGGATTTTCAAGTTTCTTCCTAAAAGGGCATTTTTTTTTTTCCATGTTAAAATGTTGTAAAGTTGGTGAGGGGATATCATCAAGTAAAAAGGAAAGAACTTGGGGTCTGGGGCTCCTGATTTAATATTAACAAAAACGGAACACATTTTTGTACATCATTCTGTTTTGCTACACTAATGAAAATGCTGAAGATTTTGCTTTTCCAAGATGATGCCTGTCAAAGTTGAATGGTGTAATACTCACTAAAGAGGGCCAGCAATTGTGTCCAACATAGCTGTTCATCTTGGCTGTAACTATGCTGCTCCGTTTCATTACTAAAGTCACGAAGGTGATGAAGTTGAAATAGGTTAATGACAGTGACATGAACTAACTGCTGAGAGTTGAAAGCTTTTTGGAATAGCAGTCTCTGTAAAAAAAGACAAAAAATACTGGTATATTACTAAGAGCAGAATTAAAGAATTAAAGACTGGTAGTCTGCACTTAAGACCACATGGGTAATAGAATTACAGATGAGTAAATTGTTTCACTTTTCATCCCAGTATTTTAATTGGGTCTAACATTTCCCAATCCGAATAATTCTCAAATGAATTAATCCAGAAACTACTGAGTTGTTTGTCAAACAATCTTTTTATCCTAAGAAACTAGACATTTGTAAATATGACTTGAGAAAAAGGTTTTGGACAGGGATCTATCCATAACTTTACACAGTTTAATTCATTAGATATTGTTTTATAAAAGATACAAATATATTAAAATACCAATAATTAGAAAGCACATAAAGGAATTTATTTGATCTGATCAACAGCATTACAAAGAAGTTGTCACCGATTACTCTCAGCTGGCAGCCTCAACTTAATTACCCTTCTACTTTAATATCTCAATAGTTTTAGACTATCCCCCAGTAAAATACTTTTCAAAGAGAAGTTCTTAACAAAGTTGATAGCTACCAGAAGCATTACACTGGTTTCACCCTACCTTAGCTACAGTCAGCTTCCTTCCCTCCCCAGGGAAAGGTTTTGGAGAGAGCAGAGATTTGCATCTTTAGTCTTATGGTTAGAAATAACAACCTTTACTTACAGCTATATCAGCAGCAATAAAAGAATATACCCAGATTCACAGTTACCTTTGACTATTCTGAGTTTTTGTTTCTACATAGTTTAAGAATCTGAAATACCCAGAGTAATCTCTGCAATTCTAAGCAAAGTCTTTCACATTATTACTGTAGAAAAACACAATCCATTCTATTTTTTCTATCACAACTTTCAGCCCCCTTGCAATCTGCCATCCCATTGTCTTTATCTACAATGCTCATCCCTTCTCTAAAGGCCACAAAGCATTTCTTTCTTTCCCAAAAATTTTCTAAAATTCTACCCCTGTTCTCCAGAATTTTTACAGAAAAGTTCTCCTTCAACCTCTAGATCCAATCTTCTAAATAAGCAAACCGTTTACACAGATGACACTGTGAGTTCAGTACCCTGAAGTTTATATGAGGATGATATTAATTATCTACATGTTTTAGAAACACTTTTAGAAATTTAATCCACTATGCTAAAATTTGATTCTAACAAGATTATTCTGTTATTTTAAAGTTGGATCTTGTAGTTTGGAACTTGGATGTCCCCCAAAAGCCCATGTGCTGAAGGCTTGGTCCCCAGCCTGTGGTGCTATTTATTGGTAGGTGGAAGAAAATCTGGGAGGTGGGTCCTAGTGGAAGCAAGTCAAATCTCTAGGGGTGTGACCCTAAGGGGACACTGGGACTCCAGCCTCTTTACCTCTTTGTTTCCCAAGAGCCGTAAGGTGAGCAGCTTCCTCTCATGCTCCCACCACGATGTGTACTGAATGCTTTGCCACAGGCCCCAAATCAATGAACCAACCAACTATTGGACTAAAAGTTCCAAACTTTCCTCTTTTTCAGTTGATTATCTCAGGTGTTTTGCCACAGTAATAAAAAGCTAACATAATGGGTAAGGTTTCAAATAGACCTGCTAATCACATGTGTTGGTGATGATACTTCAAAGTATATTTTAGCAAATGGCCATCTACATTCTTACCTACAGAAATATATATATTAATTGAGAAAATATTAGCATTTGAGGTTCTACTAAATGCAAAACTGACTGGGTTCAAACTAGAAAAACTACACAGTGAAGATCACATTAATGCAGCTCTCATAGAATCAGAGCTAGAAGCAATCTCAAGATGTCATCTAGCCCAATGACTTGCCCTTTAATTTGAATTTTATCTAAATCATGCAAGAAAGATGACTGTCAATCTGATACCTAAAATCTCCAAAAAAGGAGAATCTGCACTCTCCCTCAGTTACCTATAGCTCTCAACTTAAAAATTTTAGTTTTGACTTCAAGAAAGACAAAGATATGTTCTCTTTAAATAATCCTTCATATATACGAATACTTATTAAAAATCTAGTTAGATTTTTTGATCTTTTCCAGGCTAAATAGCCCAGAGCATCATCAAAGTTACGTTGTTCCTTTCACATATCCAACCCAACAAATGATATATCATGAGCTAAGATTAAATAGGCCATTAGGAGAAACAGAGAAAGGAGGGTATCCCAAAAGTTTATTTTAAAACAATTTCTATTAGAATCTGTTATACATATCAAGTACCAACAAAAAAAAATTATAATCTTTAAAACTACTTCAAATGACTATATCTGGATAATCCACGTCTTTAACTGTCCATGTTCGAAAACATGTTAGAATGGGAGACTTTCATAAACCACCACCACCACCGCCACGGCCACCACCAAGAAGGCATTTCCAAGCAATTAGCATTTTAAATTCTAAAGATAATAAACACATTAAAATTAATTTTAAGATCACTAAAGACAGAAAAACTTTAAAACAAATGAACTATAGGATTATGTGTGAAGTATCCACATAAATTATAGGAACTGTCAGGTAGTTATTGACAATTCCCCAAGTGTATAGATAGAAAGAAATAATCAAGAAATATAAAATGTTGAGATTTGTCTTTTGTGCTCTTGATCCCAGTGCCTAAAACAGTGACTGATACATAACAAACATTTGTTGCATATATTAATTAAAAATAAAAGTTAATACTTAAATTTGACTAGCCTTATTTTATGTATTATACTACATTTAAACAAATAATTTCTCAATATAGTAAAAAAAAAAGGTCATTTTCTTATATAAATAGAACAAAGGTTATTTAATTTTATTTCCTTATATAATTAGTAAAATAAGTATTTTTGTTGGTGAAGTTCTCATTACTTTCCTTCAAACTACCAATACACCTGACAGATTGAAGCACATTAAGAACAATGAGAATGGTTTGTAGAATGGCAATGTCTATAAAATAGGCATTAGAATCATATTTAAGAATGTAAAACCAACTAAAGTAATACTTTCCAAACAAGACTGAAGAGTTAACACTTTTTGCCAAATGGCGCTACTCAATTAAAACATTGCTACTGTATTTCTTTTGATATTATACTTTAGTTTAAATGACGAAATGTATATGCAAGAATTTCATATTCTTCCAATTTAATTTTTACCAATACCTTGGTTAAGTTTTGTCATAGAACCAGGAGTCAGTTTTCTCCAAATGTTAGCCTTTCTGATTTAGACAAAAAAATTTCTCTATTTTTGAAATCTAACCTTAAACTGTTCTTCCAATTTCTCTCGAAGAGGGCTCAGCTTCTCCAAGCTCTTACTCAGGTATACATGACCATGGAATTTAATAAAAGCCTTAATGAAGTCAGAAACACCCCATTTGGTTTTCACCTCATCCCGGCTGAAAAGAAAGAAAAACTTTTGTGAATCTTAAGAGTAAAATATAATAAAACCACCTAAAAGAGGTTGGGCTTGCAAGAACAAGTTATTTGAGCACCTGATACACGAGGCAAGAGTTGCATATTTAATTAACTTTTCAACTTCAGATAAGTATTTGGCTGGGAACAAATCAGACACTGGGTAAAACTCAGTGACTGTACACATAACTATTATGAAGCATCTATAGGTTTAGGAATGAAAGAAGAGAAGCACAGGTCACTGACTATTATTTCCTGTACGCCAAAATATGAGGAATTAATCCAGGTTACACAAAGTCCTCTTATGGGGCGGGGGGTTTCAACCCTACCTTTCCAGTGCTTTAGAAAGTGCTTTTTGTAGATTCGTGGAGGCAGCTGGGAAAGGGAACTTCACAGCAATGCTTCTGCAGTAGTAGAAAATTGTGGTCAGATGGTCTCCTTTGGAAGAAGCTAAGATAGCCAATTGATTGTAAGGCTGACCTAAAGGAGAAAAGTTCAGATTCTAAAATAACCCAAGAACCACAGTCTTGCTATCAGAATACAAACGTTCAGTTTTTAAATCCTTAAATTAATAATGGCAAGTATTTTATAAGACAAATCTCATGACTAATTACAAATGAACATAATGTGAAACAGCATACTTTAACAATGATATGTACTATCATGTATAGGTTTAAAAGTCATATATTTAGGGTGGAGAGCACGAAAAGCATTTTTCTTTTTTTAAAATATTTTTTAATTGTTGATGGACTTTTATTTTCACTTATTTGTATGTGGTGCGGAGAATCGAACCCAATGCCTCAAGTATGCTAGGCAAGTGCGCTACGCTAAGCCACAACCCCAATCCATGATAAGCATTTCAAATAAGGGTTCACAAAGGGCTAGCTAGTAAGTATTTTTTTGCTCTGCAGGCCAAAGGGTCTCTATCACAATCACTCAGACAGCCAAAGACAATACGAAATGAATGGTATGGCCAGTCTACCAACCCTACTTTAGATTCTTCTAGAATTAAAAGGAATTTCATCATGGCTTAACACCAATGATTTAAATCATTAAGTATATGATTCAATTTCTTTAATTCAAGAATCACTGCTAGGGCTAGAGTTACAGGTCAGTGGTAGAGCACTTGCCCAGTATGTGTGAAGCACTAGCATCCTCAGCATCACATAAAAATAAATCCATTAAATAAATACAGAATCACTGCTAATGACTATTTTGGGACCACCAAAAGACTAAAGTACTAGCTTTTAGATAACTGATCATTTCCAAAGGGAGAAATGGTAGTATTAAAGAGATAACTATTCCACAAGCAATTGAGGAAGCTACAGATATAGAAACAATATTAGATTACATTAATTAATTCTGTTATTTTACTAACAAAAGTAATCTTATTTGAAACTTTTTTATCTCACTTATATGGAATGTACACTTTAAAGGGCAATTACAAAACTCAATATCCAAACTCAACATCTATTGCTTTTATAAAACTTGAAAGATGAGCCTTTAGTTATCCGTTATAGTGCTATAAAGAACAAAGTGTCACGGCCAACCTCCAGTTGACAGACCCACTCACCGTTGGAGGGGACAAGCTGAGCTGCATGCCTATAGTAGGACTCTGCCTGGCTGGTCTGGTTTCTATATCGAGCTAAGAATAAGAGAAAGAGAATTTAGTTAAACACACACACACACACACACACACACCACCAGGAGGGCATTTCCAAGCAGTTAGCATTTTAAATTATCTGAAGATAATAAAGACATTAGAATTAATTTTAAGATCACTACAGACAGAAAAACTTTAAAACAAATGAACTATAGGATTATGTGTGAAGTGTCCATCCGCTTTCCCTATTTGGGACAGTCAGCATGTAACCAATTTTAAAGCTTACCTAGCCCCCATTTTCAGGTCCTCCAGTGTCATGCATCACCAGCTCCCACTATGGACTATGCTGGTGACCTGGAGCCGGCCCACAAGAAGGGGTGACTTATATGGCACTTAAAAACAAAACAAAACAAAACAAAAAAACCACTATACAATATGATCTGAGAGTTATGTAGTTCTTCAATATCTTATAAAGTGATTTTTGAAAAATGCCTTATAATCTACTGCAATATTAAGTATGTGTGTGCAAAGAATACATCAAAAGCAAAAACAACTCAAACATACTATCCCTGAATCTCCTTGAAGAACTCAACTGCTTATTTTGATGTAACTCCTCTCATGGAGTCACTGATTTAAGAAACCTAATATCTTTAAACAAACAAACAAACAAAAAAAAAGTTTTCCATTTCTTGTTATTTTGAGGACAACAAGCAAAACATAATCCTATAGTTAATTTGTTTTATAACCTTTTTAGGTCACCTTAAAGGAATAACAAGAATAAGTAAGTAATATAATACTCTCAGATAAAATACATGTCATGGAAATACACATTTATCTTTTAAAAGGAAGCAAAGTTAAAAATGAGCTTTTAACGCACTAGTAAGAAGGAAAATAGGGAATTTAGCTCTAGAAGAAATAACTTACAAACTATTTATTCCAAAAGAGTACAGACTTTCAATTTAGAAAATATGGTATCACTTTGAAAAATTTTGTTCTGATTACATTTTTGCTGCTTATTATTTTTCTACACCTGCATAAAGTGTAAATAAAATTTAAATCTTAATATAAAAATTATTTTCAAGATTATCTGACAATCCCAAAACCTTGAGAAATTCTAAGTTCCTAAAAATACATTTCATAATTTTCTCTTATGATAATCTAAATTATATGCACATACTTACGGCCTAAAGGAAAACGTTTTTTCCTATGACTACTCCAAAAAAAGAAAGGAATGAATATATTATGAATTTCTTTACACCAAAGGCTCACCAATGTCTCCAAGGTGGACGAGGCAGTGCTGGCAGATATAGGAACAGGAGCTAGACTGTGGCTTCACTATGGCGCTGGTATGCGTCTGTTTATTGCTGATAATTCCCAACTGGGAAGACTTCACACGGCATGGTAAATCTACATTAAACACTGTACACAGTTCTTGTAATAACTGAAAGAAAAACATAAGCAAAACTTAGTAGAAATTTAGAAAGCAGTATGGAGATTCCTTGGAAAGCTGGGAATGGAACTACCATTTGACCCAGCTATTCCCCTTCTTGGACTATTCCCTAAAGACCTTAAAAGAGAGTACTATAGGGATACTGCTACATCAATGTTTATAGCAGCACAATTCACAATAGCTAGACTGTGGAACCAACCTAGATGCCCTTCAATAGATGAATGGATAAAAAAAAATATGCCATTTATACACAATGGAGTATTACTCTGCACTAAAAAAATGACAAAATCATGGCATTTGCAGGGAAATGGATGGCACTAGAGCAGATTATGCTAAGTGAAGCTAGCCAATCCCTAAAAAACAAATGCCAAATGTCTTCTTTGATATAAGGAGAACAACTAAGAACAGAGCAGGGAGGAAGAGCATGAGAAGAAGATTAACATTAAACAGGGAGGAGAGGTGGGAGGGAAGGGAAAGGAAGGGAAATTGCATGGAAATGGAAGGAGACCCTCATTGTTATACAAAATTACATATAAGAGGAAGTGAGGGGAAAGGGAAAAAAAACAAGGGGGAGAAATGAATTACAGTAGATGGGGTAGAGAGAGAAGATGGGGGGGAGGGGAGGGGAGGGGGGATAGTAGAGGATAGGATAGGCAACAGAACACAACAGACACTAGTATGGCAGTATGTAAAAAAGTGGATGTGTAACCGATGTGATTCTGCAATCTGTATACGGGTAAAAATGGGAGTTCATAACCTACTTGAATCAAATGTATGAAATATGATATGTCAAGAACTATGTAATGTTTTGAACAACTAATAATAAAAATTAAAAAAAAAAAAAGAAAGAAGTGTTTTTGCAGTAAAGTCTATATATATTTATTAACACATACTGCTAAGACCTGAGACTATATGAAAATTATATGGTAATCTTTGATAGGATAACTAATATCATTTATTATAAATCATCTTTTGGATTCTCAAATATTACAACATTCTAGGATGTGCATTTAAGAGGAACAGAAGCACTTAAACTGTACCAAAATAAAGCAAGAAATTCCATAAAGTCATATATTTACTTCTCTCAAAAACACAAAATCAATTGAAGACTAGTTGGTTATAAACGTCACTTAAATAAAAGCTAAGGTATTTCTTATCTGACATTTTAAAGTTCTAGCCTAATTCTTTGTATACAAAACAGAGCTCATGGTATCACAGGCCTTACATAGATTACATTCTTTCTTCCTTCCTTTTCTATTCTTCAGAGAGTGAGGGATCTTTCTCCTGGTCAGAGCTAACTCACCTGCCTGCACATGCCTGCTATACCTTGCTTTTCTCTCTCCTGCTTATCACTCCCACCCACTCCTCTATTCTTTCATCTATTTCCAACTTCTCATGCATCTGTCTGGTGGCCTAAACCTATCGAGATTTTCTATAAAAAAACAAATATGATAGCAAAAAAAACAACAAAACACCCTCCTTTGACCCTAGAATCCTTCCCAGCAACTTTCTAATAGTTCCTCCTCTCAAACAAATTCCTTCAAAGGAGTCCATTTTTCATATCTGCTTTGCTAACTCCTATCCACCCTGAATTGATTACTATTTGGTTTCTACACAACCCTGTTCCCACTCCACCATCCACCACTGCTTTACTAAAACTGATAATTCACTATTCACAGTAGTGAAATACAATGCTCATCTATTAAGTAATCATTGTATTGGACCTCTCTGACAGCACTTAAAACAGTGGATCTAGGAAGGGCATAGGGGAATATACCTATAATCCCACCTACTCAGGAGGCCGAAGCAGGAGGATTCTGTCAACTTAGTGAGATCCTGTTTCAAACTAAAATATACTAAAAAAGAGCTGGGCACACGTATAATCCCAGTAGCTCAGGAGGCTGAGGTAGGAGGATCATGAGTTCAAAGCCAGCCTTAGCAAGTCAGTGAGACCTGGTTTCTAAATAGAATATAAAAAAGGGCTGGAGATATGGCTCAGTGGTCAAGCACCCCTGGGTTCAATCCCAGTACCAAAAAAGGGGGGGGGGGGCTGGGGTATAGCCCAGTGGTAGAGTGGTTACCTAGCACATGTGACTATCTGGGTCCAACCCCCAGTACCAATAACAACAACAACAACCAAAAAAAAAAAAAAAAAAAAACCCAGTAGATCTTAATGTTGATCACTGAGCTTTTCTTTTATATATTTCTCTAATTATATCTTTTCAGTTTCCTGCATTCCTCCCACCTTGTCAAGGGCTTAATCCTTGGTCCCTACACAGTTCTTCCCATTCTATTCTCGTTTATTAAACTCTCAGAAATATATTCATTCAAATATTTTTTCCTAAATATTATTATATTCATTCAACGATTTGCCTACCCTCTCAGGCAAAGATTAATGTGGTAAGCAACAGAAATACAAACATGAATAAGAAAATCTGTGTCCCTGAAGAGCTCATAGCCAAATGCACAAGTCAGGTAGATAGAAAAAAGGGACAGGAAAGAGGAAAAAGGAAAGGGGAAAAGAGGAAGGGAGAGAAAGGAGGAGAGGGAAGGAGAGAAAGAAAGCAGGATGAATAGCATAAATCAATAGAATATTCTATATCTATAATAAACTTCATTCCCTAGATTATTTTGTCTCATCCTTTTGATAAAGCAGCAGCAACACAGTGTATGTAGCTATACAGTTCCATTTTTTTTTCAGATAAGGATGTAAGAACAAATATCTAGTGATTGACTAAGATTACAGAATTAGAAATACCTGAATTCTATCATCACTCTGGCATGTACAGAATTCACAATCCAAAATAAAACACCATCTAAGTACCTAACTCAAGTATCTGAAAGGTGCCACCTTTTTCCTAAGATACCTCCATAACGAAATATAAAGCCAGTGAGTGCTTCCTCATTAACTACCCACTTCATCTTTCCTTGTATTTGTACATCTGTAATGGGCAAGGAACTTGCTGACATAAAATTACACTAAAAAGTGGGAAGTAAGGAAACAGAAAGCACCTGCCCACATCCATGGCCCCTTAAAAAAAGGGAAGCAAAACCCAAAACTCTGGAATATAACAAGAAAACATGAGAGTTCAGTAGTTATGAGTTCAGTAGTTACTGAAAGAACAGACTGAGAAACTAGGCAAGGCAAAAAGAAAGATCACCAAAAAAGTAAATCAAATACAGATTTTAAAAAATCATGTAGAACAGCTTTGTAATAAAATATGCCAGAATCCATGAATTATAGGTAGAAATATCCAACAGAACAAAAGTTCTGCTGGTAAAAAGGTTCTGGGAAAGACAACTCTGTTTTATTTAGAGGCAATAACAAGGTGGAACCAAAAAAGAGGAAGTTGAACAAAACTATATTTGGCTTTTTTTTTAAAACTAAAACTATATCCTATCTTTATATATGATCCTGTATCCTATCTTTATAAAGTATCCTGATGTACTTGGCAGCAGTTTCCTAAAACTAGGTGTGTGACTAAGATAAGAAGCTGTTTAGTACATTTTATTGTAGCATTAACCAGGAGATACTCCTAAGGGTAGAGGCTGAATAACTAATGCTTTGTGTTCTCCTCAAACTCCAATCATAGAATTGCCCACCCTACTCTTTTCACAGATCAGGAAGTTAAGTACCATAGAGGTCAGTGACTTGCCCAACTGTCACAGTTAGCACTAGAACAGTACTAGACAATATGTCCTGGCTTCTGACTCATCACGTGCTCTTTATACTGTTCCATTTCTCCTCAGCTCTTCACTCTATGCCAAGAATGAAGGACTGATTATGAAGGTACAGAGTATCACCTTCACTAATGTAGAAACTTAATCCCTTTTTCGCTCCCATTTTCTTAGAATAAGGACTACTATTCTTTGATATATAAAAATAACTTACAGTAGAATGTTATATCTTTACTTTCACCAGGAATTTCGTATCTGCTTCAGGCACTAAGCTTTAATTTGTTAACAAAGTGACAGCTAAGAAATCAAAGGATCTTTGCACAAAACCCAAGTGTGAATGATCACACACATTTTCATACTATTCCAATCAGACTATCATCTCCTCTCTGCTGAAATCATAAGTTATAAAATGAGCCATTCATTATTTTATACAGTATGGCAAGAAAAACACTGTAAATTAAATGGTGACTTGCCGTTAGTCTTATATACTGAAATCTAAAAAGTCTACGATAAACTTACCTCTATTAGAATATGAAAAAGGTTTAGAAATGAAGAAATATGTTACTTATTAAGCCCACTAATGACGTCTATGTTTTCAAATCTAATTGGACACTTTTAAAATCTTAATTTACTTCTTACCAGCACTCAAACGGGGTTGATCACTTCCTTTCCTCACTGAAATGTTCTTGTTTGGCTCCCAAGTCCCCTTTCCCTGATTTTCTTTTACCTGCAGCTGTTATTCCTCTTGAGCTAAACCTGTTCCCCACTAAGGGTTCTGTACTGTAATCATAAAATTTATGACCATGACATTTTTACCTTTTCACTGGGTTCCAAACATGTTTATGCAATTACCTATTAGACAACCCTCCTTTAACATCAAATGGGCATCTTTCTAATTTAACATGGACAAAGTTCCTTTCCTCCTGGTGATTCCCATCTTAGTAAACGGTACAACCATTCAACTAGCTACTCTTTGATTTATCAGCTTTGATGACTCCTTTACCCTGAATTCCACAAACCTAACCCAATCCATCAGAGGAAGCCCTATTGGCCATACTTCAAAATTCATTTCTTTCCATTCAAACTAGCTTCTATCCTCAATTCCAATATCAAGTAATCTTTTAAAAATGCAAATCAGAACATGTTATTACTCTCCAATGGCATGCAATTATACTAAGGATTAAAATTCAAAACTTCAGTCTATGTGGTCATATAATGATCTGGAATTGATCTACTTCTTTAATCTGATAAACGAGTCTGTACTGCATATAACCAAGAAAGATGTATGAAACATTTTTGTTAGTAACACTATTAATTGTTTCAATGGTAAAATAAGTCAAAATAAAATGCAAGTCCTAATAATGTTAACATCTGAAAAGTCTAAAAAAAGCATAATGTGAAAATAAAGAAGTTTGTTGGTACTTATTCTATCATTCATAATTGGTCAACCACTGCCTGTAGAATGCAGGTAGGAAAGAATCAATGCTTATAAAAACTTCAAAAAATTAATTTCAAAATTAAATTGTCCTTGTATTTTCTCTTATAAAATATGAGACACTTGAATGATTTTATTATTCACCAGCATACAGAACACTTTTATAAATACCATGGTTCCTCAATAAAAATGTACTTTGCATATTTGTTTTGATTTACCAGTATCCAATCATATGTATATCACATCATAAAAAAGGTTAAGAATTAATTTTAAGATAACAAACCAATCTGTCTAATGGCTATTGAATGTATTGCAGAAGGTAAAGAGTCTTCCCTTTCCAGAAGCATCCGCTTACACTGCTAAAAGCTGGCGTAACACTGAAAATGAATTTTGAGAATACGAATTATACTTGAGTTCTTTCAATTACGAATTGTGATGAATGTTTTTGATCTAAATAAAACATAAATAACCTCTATAAGATGATTGATGTCTTCCAGTACAGAAATGCTTTTATTTTTCTTAAAAAAAAAAAAAGAATAAGAACATAAAGGCAAATATAGGTAGGTAGCAAGCAACATAGAACTGGCCCAAGACTTCAGTATAAGATCTATATTATATTATGATGCTAGTTTATATATAAAATTTTATTAATTAAATTACAAATTGATAATATGGGAATTTAAAGGATTATGCTTATAGCAAATAAAATTCCATGGTCAAAAATAAAATTTATTCATTCCTTGCCTGATTTTTATCTGGATGTGACCAAGGAAAAGAAAAATCTTGTGAAAATTATGAATAATATCTTATTACTTAAACTAATAAAAAGTTATTCCATTTTGTAGGTAGTTTAAAACATTTCAAAGCCAAGATAAATTCTCCTATATAAATAATACTATAACAAAAACCCACCTGATTTTACAAAATTTAATTACTACTACTACTATTACTACTCTCTTTTTTTCTTTTTTTGGTACCATGGATTGAACCCAAGGGTGCTTAAACACTGAGCCACATCCCCAGCACCACCACCCGCCCTTTTAAAAAATTTACTTTTATTTATTATTTTGAGGCAGTCTTACTAAGTGGCTTAGGGTCTCACTAAGCTGTTCAGGCTGGCTTTTGAACTTGAGATTCCCCCTGCCTCAGCCTCCCACATTGCTAGAATTACAGGTATGCACCACTGTATCTGGCAAAATTTAACTACTTCTTATCTAGAAAATTTAACTACTTCTTATCTAGCATAACATAGCTTGCTTTCATAACTATATTCATACCCATAAACTCACACTTGGAACTGATTACTTCCACTGTTTGACTAAAACTTTGCTTTCATTGCCCCTTTTCTATTCATACAGTTATACCTTCAACCTATAAGCCAAAACCAATCAACTTAAGAGTCGAGTCTTTAGTTTTTAAAAATCTTCTGGGAAATAATTTTAGAAACCTGTATTCACTTGAGATTATAGATATCAACCCCTAGATGATTCTTACAGTGGTTATACAATGTGTTTAGATGAAATAAAGATGTGTGAGAAGAGAAGAATATTTACTATTAATACTAGGAAAATTGGTGTACAATGAAGAACTCACCTGGGTATAGAAGCCACTAGCTGCCTCTAGGAACAGAGAAAGGTTTGCCTGAACTTCACTCCGATTCGGGTTTGCTCGATTCTTTGCCTGTCCTTGTAGTGTTGTGATCTGATTCTTAAAGGCATGATTCCAGCTGAAAACAAAATGTAATTCTATTTGGTATAGCAGTGACTCACTGGGCAGACACTGGTCCCCCTGAGAACAAGAAAGAACTGTTTGTTATAATTATACCACACTGGACAGTAAACCTGCATTAAAGTTATTCATGTATTTAAATAACTTTATGTTCCCCCTTAAACAAGACCAGACGTGCAGTAGAATCCAACATTTAGTAAACACTTACCAAATATTTAAATAATAAGACTGTAGCCTCAGCTATTAATCTTTTAGAGCAACTGCAATTAGAGCCTATTTAGAAAATCTAGTATAAAAATCAGAACTACAGTGGCAAGATTATAAAAATAAGCTATTAACAAAATTCCATACATTGTGCCAAAAATACCTAACTGTACCCTAAGAAGTGACAATGTAAAGGGGAGGGGTGTAAATATTAAGCTATGCTTTATCTCTTATTTTACCAAAAGCCATTTCCCATAGCACTTTTTTCCCTTCATAACTAATAGTTTTAGAGAATCAGTTTACATTCAGTTTTGGTGAAATACAATCTGTAACTTGAAAATCATAGTAACTAAAAGGAGGTTATAAAGTTATAAAATTTTACTAAAAAAGCACCTAATTTTAATTAAATCAACATCAACTTAAGGTACTAGGTTTTTTTTTTTTTAATGATTTAGGAGGTCATCACTCCCTCATTATTGCTACTAAGATCTCATCTTGACTCTAATACCACAGACATGGATTCTGATTAGTTGCTATTTAGCTCTATTAACTAGGTTTCCTAAAAATATAAAGTATATAAAAAAGGTGAAACAAACGGGAAAAACTTATCTTCACCACAACTTAGGGTAATGGACATTACTAGACAATATCTCTTCACTGACTTTCAAATTTCCACTAGGTTAATGTCCCTGATCCAATTTTTAAGGCAGGGCCTTCTGCAAGAGGTATTTATTTACTCACTTGGGAATCTGGTTATCTGTTATCTTACCCTTCATAGAAAGAACAAATGGAATAGCCTAAATACACAAAATCTTTAATTTGTATTGGGAAGGAAAAAAGAAAATGTCAATTTATTTGATTAACTTTCTATAATGCATATACATTTTTCTGCTGGAGAAATTTATAGGATCACATTTACCAAAGAAACATTTTTCTAAAGTTTTTTTGTTGTTGTTTAAATCGTGACTTAAATGTAGGACTGAAAACAGATAATCAAAAATTCTTAGCACTTGAAATATGTTTTTCTGATATGCTCTAAAAGACGGCCCTTTATAAGATTCCATTCTAAACATTTCTTTCTTACCTTTAAAACTGTACCTGAAATATCAATGGCCAGATATTTTGTTTAAAAAAAAAAAAAAAGTTAAAAATAATTAATTTCTTCCTACCAAAAAAGTTTGTTCTAAGGTAGGTTAAAAAATAACCAACCAGTTTTAAAGTCTTGGTGAGAGTCTTGATCTTACAGGAACATCCCAAATGATAATACTTACAGATCCTGTTCTACTTTCTTGTCTAAAGCGTATTCCAAATCAGTAACTAGCATTTTCTGGTACAGGTCCTGCAGAGCCTGCCTGGATGTCCAGACCTCAGCTGGACCCAGCTTAGAATCTGAGTAACAAAACAAAAATACAACACACAGACAGGTAAACAATAATTCCTTCCCTTTCCATTCCCCAAAGCAAATTTACTCTAAATATATTCCAGGCAGAAGTTTTATATTACTACATTTCAAATGCCCACCTTTTAGCTAATGGCTGTGATTTAAGATGCTTTCATTTTTGTTAATCTTTTAGTTTTGAAATAATATCATGAAATGAAATGGCTAAAAAAAATATGAATGGTTTATCCTTTGCTACTGGTTTGGTCATATTCATACCACTGGAAACCATATGCTTCACAGTAAGTCACTCTATTTGAAATAATGGACAATCAAGTTGGAATCTCTACACTCCCGTTATCTCTGTCCAAAGCGGACTTTTCCTTTTTATTTTGAATTATTCTCAACAGTGTTCACATAGAATTCTCATATTGGCTCGCCATCCAGCCGTTGCTTGGATATTTTGCTGTTATTCCTATTTTATACATGTCGATCTAATAAAGCCATGGCAATAGGAATTATCTTAATGGGTGATCAATTACTCTAAGTCACTTTTGTGAGCAATCCACACTTGCCATTTAATGTGAAGAATGGCCAGTAAAAGACTGGGAGTAAATTCCTTATGAGGCCAGATGAGAGCCTGGGTGTAGACTAAAATCAGGAAGTTAGACTATGACTATACATATTGTCATACTGTATGCCAAAGTCCTTCAAGGCATTTTAGGTATCAGTTATTATTTGACAGCAAGTTGCTTCAGTAGAATAACTTAATAATGGACTTTTGAATTATATATTTCCAATAAATACCAGTTAAGGTATTTCATTTCTTTTAGGAATCCACTGCTGCACAAACTTTACTCCTCTTTAGGTTTGCTAATCGTATCAATAACCACCACAATACTATTCTGCAAATAGAATCTCCTATATATTTGAGTTAATGCTCAAAAGAGTTTACTGACTGATAAGAATAAAGTCTATTATAAATTAAGTTTTCAATCACTAATAGATTAATAGATTTATTTAACCGTTTTGATTCATTGATAGCAAAAAAAGGGGACTATCAGAGATCATTAATTCTATCACATTGATTCATTTAAGCAAGAAGATTTAATGTTAGGTAAAGTTTCTGGACAGCTAAATGTTCCCTATAAAAGTCAAACTCTAAGACTATTTACTGAGGCTGTTAAATACTTCAAAAAAAGAAAAGAAAATGGCATAGATAGCCTGATGCTGCTCCATGAACTATTTTTGTCAGATGATTCAGATTATGCCTTCCATGCTAATTCAAAAGCAGAATACAGTAGCTGTTCAGAGCTGACAATGATACATACAATATGGATAATAATAAATCTATAATAGGCCTTCCTTTTTTCTCGAATAAGATGACAGTATAACCCATGAACTCCAACCATCAGCCTGTGATTCTAGAAATTGAGAAAAAGATACCTCAGCAGTATTTACCTTCTTGAATTGTAAATCTTGGCAGGAATGCTAGTTATCAAAACAGTTTAATTTTTCATGGGTTTTACTGTAGAACTAAAATCCTTAAAAATTATAGTGAGATCTATTATCACTGGAGGATACACTGATCACTACATAGTTATTACTAAATAGGTTCTTATTTTGGAGTTAAAAATCTGCTCCTGTCAGTGGCTAACCCAGGAATTCTTTTAAAAAGACTTCAGCTATTATTCAAAGCAGCAAAGATATGGGGAAAAAAGAAAGAAATGTGGCAAGACAGCTCAATGAATTAAAAGCTTTCAGTAGAGTTTTCCTGTAAACATTTTTTCTGATGGCTTATTCCTACTCAATTTGGGTAATTATAAATAGGAAAAGAACACTTTCTCTAGGAAAATAATAACCAAACACCATAATTTTATGTTTTTACTTATATGGAATATAAATTATTTTCTGAATATCTTAAATTGATGATAAAAGTTAAACTGATGATAAAAAGTTCATAAAAAATGATTACATATATTAAATTAGGTAATATTCAATTAATTGTGGCATATGTTATATACAATTCCTGACAAGTATATACGTAAGAATTCAAAGTATAAAAATAACATATACAGCAAACAATCATCCCTTTTGGCAACTAGGTCAGGATTTAGTGCTACAAGTAATATAGGAGAGAGAATATCCTTTCATTAATTTAATGGTATAAAATAAGCTGTGAAAAAGAAATAAGTTAGCCAATACCTGTCATATCAGCCTTCAGGACTTCTGCCTGCCTAGATAGGGGAAGAAAGAATATCAGTTAGAAACAAACTAGGCCTGACCAACATAAATAACAATATAAATTAAGTGAAACAATTTATTACAATATAATTAAGGCTATTATATGTTCTTGCTTGAACATCCTGGGTAGCTAGCACTAGATCTTGACAAACAGGCCATTACTTAAAAGCTTACAGGATTATCAGTGACCTCTTTTATCAAGTAGTTGACTTTCTTGCTGCTTTCCTTCAATCTGACTTTTTAAAGGTAAACATTAAATGATTATCCATTAAAATTAAAAAGTTTTCCCTTGCTGCTGCTAAGGATCCTACTGTGTTTCTCATATACTAGTTATCACAGCTATTTCAAATTTTCACTCTTACCAAACTGTTGTTCCCCTTCTTCACTTCCAAATGACAGACCTATTTTATCTCAGGGAAAACAATTGACATTTACTAAATACTACATGTATATTGTCCTCTCCTTACCTCTTGTTAAAAAGATCAGAGGTATAGTACCTCTTATTTAAGACCAAAATTCCACTTATGTATGCTCTTTGTAAGGGCTTGCTCCTTTAATCAACACCTATCCTTTTTGACAATTTTTAAACTTCTACTGGATCCTTCCTTTAGCATTTAAACATGTCCAAACCTTTCATATATTTTAACCCCCACTCCCACCTCAGCCCTACACTTCTCTCTAGCTGATGCCTGTTTTTTCTCTCTCATATTCTCCAGGAATTGCCTGTATTCAAGAAGTCCAAAATCAAACTTATGGTCCATCCCCCAATCCCACGCCTGGTTGTCTTTCTAACATTTCTTTTTTTTACCTTAGCAAATACATATGGCTTTGCAGTTGTTAAAGGCAGAAGCTGGTAAGTTATCCGCTGCAACTTTCTTCTTTGCCTGAACTGCTACAAAGCCATGAAACTGCTTTCTCCAACTCTCACTTGCTCCATTTCATTGTGTTCTCTCACTGCTGTCAGAAGGCTCTTTTTAAAAATGCACACCTGGGGGCTGGGGCTACAGCTCAGGGGCAGAGCACTTGCCTAGCATGTTGTCAGGGAGGCAATGGGTTCGCTCCTCAGCACCACATCAAAACAAAATAAAGACATTCTGCCATCTACAACTACCAAAAAAATTTTTTAAATGCAAACCTGATCTATCAATTATCCACTTACAACTTTACATGAATGATTTCCCACTGTTGTTGAGGTGTATAACAAAATCTTTGTTAAAGTGTCCTACAAAATTGTATAGTCTCAGAACTCGACTTTTACCACTCTTCCCTCCTTGATCTCCATGTTTCACTGCTGGACTTCTAGGCCTTTGTAAAGGACAGTCCCTTTGCTAGGAACACCTCCTCCTCTTTGTCTGGTTAATTATGACTTACTCCTTCTCTTGAGTCAGAACCCATCTAGATTAAGGACATTCCTATTTATGCTCTTAAAGCACTTTGTATTTTTTCTTTATAGTACATATCATAAGAATGCTCACCACTGCAAAGGCTGCCTACCAGCACAGTGCCTAGCACACAGCAGGCACTTGACAAACATTTTTCCAATGAAGAAAGGAAAAGGTTAAGTCATTTTTGTATACTCTGCTTAATGACCTCATTCATATGTGGATCTAAAGAAGTTGAACTCATAGAAATGGAGAATAGAAGAATGGTTATCAGAGGCTGGGGAGGGTAAGGGGCAGGAGAGGATAAGAAGACACTGGTCAGTGGACACAAAGTTGTAATTATGGTGGAGGAATAAGTTCTGGTGTTATGTGGCATAGCAGGATAATCATGGTTAACAATATGTATTAAATATTTCAAAATAGCTAGAAGAGTGGATTTTGCATGTTCTCACCACAAAGAAATAATAAATGTTTGAGGTGACACCTATACAAATACCCTGAGGTATGATTATTATACATTCATTGAAACAACACACTGTGACCCATAAATCTGACAATTATACATGTCAACTAAAAGCAAAAAATGAAAAAAGTAACTGTAGTAAATTTCATTTAAAAAATAACTTTTTGATGTGAAAGCTAGAGATTAAGGTTCTAAAATTTTTACTGTAAATAGTTACACATGTTTTAGGTATTTAACAGAAATTACGAATTTTAATTTAACTAAAACAAAGTGAGCCCTTTTATTTTCTTAGTCTTTATGAAGATATGTTTAGTTTTAAACTAAGCTTTCAAATAAGAGAATCACAGTGGGGTACCACAAATCTCATGAGAGCAACCAATACAAAGGAACAGTATTAATTAGTTATGTTTAGTCCTAAAATGTGATATCATAATCATCAAATTCCATTATCCACACAGCCTAGGACCAGGTATCAACTTTTGGCATTAAAAAAAAAAAAAAACCTGTCACAAGGCTATTGGCTTATGCTCTTAGAATCTAAGAGCATATCATGTTTACTATCCTACCAATGTCCCCTTCTCTGCCACAATATGGAATACTGCCTCAATGAAGTATTAATTTTCCTTTTTTATTATGTACAATATATAAGAAATAAAATAAATAGATATGTGATCTTATGCAAAAGCAGGACAGGACAAAGTTGGCTATTACATTACCTTATTTCATTAAGAAAAAAAGTACTATACCTCAATTGTTCAATTGGTTTTAAAGACTTACGGTACAGGGGCTGGGGTGGGGGGTGGCTCAGTTGGTAGAGTACTTGCCTTGCATGCATAAGGCCCTAGATTCAATCCACAGCACCACACACAAGGGGGAAAAAATATGTACAGTAGATGAATAGTTTAAAGCCAATGCTTTTGTAAAGAGACAAAATATTTTCTCTTGGCATAGGGTACAGCAACATGAGTTTTCTTTCATTCCTGCTTTAAGCTAAATTAATGAAAAGAATGAGCCAAGAATCTAAAAAATTACATCACCATGCCATTATTTACAAAACACTTTTATAAAATATAAAGCTTTCAAAACATTTACTATATTGTCTTATTAAATAAGAGAAATTAATCACTTCTATCAAGCAATAAAAAGTGATTAAAAGACTGAATAAAGTCTGGATCACTGAGTGACAAATATGTTGAAGACTAACAGTCTGAAGCAGCACTCCTGGAGACATCATCATCTACAAGTAATTTCATGAATTCTAAGCACCATGTACTGTAATAGCTAACACTATACGCAGAACTTACTATTGTCAAACACTGTTCTAAGGGCTTTATAGAAAGTAATCATTTAACTCATGCTACGTAGTACTGTCCCCACTTTATCCCTGAAGAAAACCCAAGGAGATAAGAGGTTAAGTAACATGCTGAAGATCAAAGTTAGTAACCAGTAAAAATAGCATTTGAACTCAATCAGTTTGGTTCCAACACCTAATTAGTTCCTAATCATTACATTAGAATTCCTAATACAAGAGTACATAGGAAAAAAAGATGGAGAATGTTTGATAGTAACAGTCCAGAGAACTGGGAATTTTAATACTTAACCATTTTAAGATAATTTTTTAAAAAAAGAAAAAAGAACCCTAAAATTTGGGTTATCTTTTTAAACCAATTCCTTGATCATACACAGCACTTATATAACAATGCAAGGTAACAAATAAAGATTACATTCTCTTAAGAACATTCACTCTAAAATTCATGGTTTAAATACAAGATATTTCTAAATTGGGGGCACATAAATAGGAGATTCCTTCTATCTGAACTCCAGATCCACTTTCTCTATAAAGAGAATTCAGAAATATAAACCCATATCTTCTAAACTCAAAGCTATTGAGAAAAGGCAAATCACTCCCTTTTTTTCGGTGGTGGTAAGAGTACCAGGGATTGAACTCAGGGGCACTCAACTACTATGGCACATCCCCAGCCATATTTTGTATTTTATTTAGAGACAGGGTCTCACTGAGTTGCTAAGTGCCTGGCTAAATTGCTGAGGCTGGCTTTGAACTCTTTGATCCTCCTGCCTCAGCCTCCTGAGCTGCTGGGATTACAGGCGTGCGCCACTGGGCCTGGCCCACCACTCCCTTTTACTCTGAGAGAAGAGGTTAATTTCTTTCCTTGGGGGGTGGAAGTAGTGTGAGCAACGGCCAAGGTAGATTTTCTTATTGTGTTAATTTGTTTACTTGTTTCCAGAGTTCTAAGGAGTAATTAGGGGTAACAATATTCTGTAATTATATCCATAAATCAAGAACCTAATCATAATAATTTACACTAAATAAGAGGCCAGATACTATAAAGTGAGTGCAGTACACTTACGCACACACAAAACCACATATGCAATATATAGTTTTCTCAGACATCAGTATGTCTCATGATGTTAATCACAGAAAACCAAATCATATTTCGGCATTGTTGAATTTTGCTGAGACTCAAGGATCCAAAGCTCCTAAAGGAACTTTTCTCAGTATCTTAGTAAAAATACTAATCAGCTTTCTCCCTATGGCACTTTATCAGGCATTTTAAAATTTCCTAATACTCCAAAGCTCTATACCATAACATTCACTGCACAATCTATATTCTTTGAAAATGTGTACCTAGTTTTACTTATTTATTTTTAAACATTTCTGGTTTAAAATGTGTGTGTGTGTGTGTGTGTGTGTGTGTGTGTATTTAAGTTGTAGTTGGACACAATACCTTTATTTTATTTATTTATTTATTTATTTTTATGTGGTGCTGAGGATCTAACCCAGCACCTGGCATGTGCTAGGCAAGTGCTCTACCGCTCAGCCACAACCCCTGCCCATGTACCTAGTTTTATTAAGAGCCAGTTGTGATCTGGAAATTTCAAGGAAGAGAAGGCAAAAGAAAATAACACAACAATGAAAAGCAAAGCTAAGTCAGTGAGTGAAGATGACTGGAACACTACTTGGTAGGAAGCCTCAGAAGATGAAGCTGGAGAACACCAAGGAAGACAGGAGATTGTGAGAAGCATTGTATGAATGTTAAGGAGTTCAAATCCTACACTGTAATGAATAAAAAACCAAAGCTTAAGTTTATGTAAGGTATATAGCATTGTTAGATTTGCTATTTAAAAT